CTGAGTATTAGAGAGATTGAGAAAAACTGCCTTGGGAAGGCAGTGACCTAGTCATTTTTTCGGTAGACTATTAATCCAGAGACCCAGGTAACGTTCTGGGGACCCAGGTTTGAATCCAATCAGTGGCGGATGGTGGAGTTTCAATTCAACAAAATCTGGAATCAAGGGTCTAATAATGACCATGGAAAAATTGTCAATTGTCATAAAAGTCCACCTGGTTCACTAATGATCTTTAGGGAAGGAAACCTCCCATCTTTACCTGGTCTGGCCTACTTATGACTCCAGACCCACAGCAACATGGTTGACTCTTAACTGTCCTGTGGGCAATAGTGATATCCAGATTGCATGAATGACTTTAAAAAAGGACATGTGGCAAGATAGACCTGGGTCCTGTCAGTGCTAATAAGGAATATGATGTTGACTTATTGGGAATTATTGAATAATATTTAAATTTGTGATGTTGCTCCAGGTTGGGGAATACCTCATGCTGTGAGAAGATTCCCTTACCCTTTTTGTTCATATTTACATTGATCTATGTGCCTGGGCCTGAGGCTGTATTATTAAAATCTACCAAAAGTTGTAATATTTGGAAAGTGTCCAGAACAACACCCAACTTCTATCAGTGGCTTCATAATTACAATAATTTACCATGTCTGCTGATGCAGTAAACTGCTGAGAAATAAACTTCAATCTTGTCAGTTCGGGCGCAGGAGGAGCCCAACACAATACCCTATCCTTATCCTGGTAATATTGTTAATGGTGAATATTTAGCACGGAGACAGAGGAAGTGTCAAGCTGTAGCATTGGTGGATCTTACCCAGTACAAAACAATAAATTAGCAACCAATTTGGAATATCAGTCTATAATCCCTTCCAGGTTCAATCAATCACTATTTAGGATGTCTAAACCCTGTTGACTAAATTATTGCTTCTAAATTCTTCTCAGGGGCCCATCCAAATCCTTGGATTAGATTCTTGTAGCAAAATCCAACATATCAGTTCCATTCATTGTTAATTATTTTGTCACTAATTACAAGTATAAGAGCTTACTCATCAAACAAGACTGGTAAATTGTTCCACTAACAATGCTGATTAATCTGTAAACGTTCTCTTATGTTTGGTGTTGTGAAATTATTTAATATCTGGCATAGTGCTGAATGCTGGATATAATGGTGTGTGGATGTGGCAATGTGTGTGTGACTGATATGCAGCAAGAAACTAGAAATTCTGAAATTAATCCAGAAAATGCTGGAAATACTTTGCCAGTCAGACAGCAGAGAGAAGCCAAGTAATTGGTTCAGGCCAATGATGATCTTTTATCAGAACTGGCAAAAGTTAGAGATTTAACTTGTCTCTTTTTTTCTCGGCAATAGATAGGTGGCCAAAGTTTTTCAGCCTGCACTCATCAGGACAAGTGCAAGAATAGTTGGCAAGGCAATGTTTTCCTTTATTATACATTGTTGCGCTTAATTGTAATTTGGCATTCTTGTACTTGTCCTGATGAGTGCAAGATGAAAAGCTTTATGTACCAAATAGCGACGGTATGTCTCCTCTACTTTGAAGAAAAACATGCTGAGTGGGTGCTGGTTCATTCTTCATAAAATTTTCAGCAGCAACTGAGGATGAGCAATAAATGCTCTCCTTGCCAGTGGTACCGCCATACTCTGGAAAATAAAGTCTGCTCAGTCCACAGACATGACCTTGACCCTTCAGCCAAATAAATCTTTAATTCTTTAATCCAATCCCCTAACAACTTTGTCCTCCTAGCCAATGCTAATATTGCTCAATACAAGCTCAAGAAAGAGCATCTCATTTTCTTTTTGATTGTGCAATTTACAACTGTCCAGCTTCAATGTTGAACTCAGCAGTTTTAGATTGTAACCAGTGACCATTGTTTTCTCAGACAGTGAGTGCTGGTAATGTTCTGCTGTTGTCATTTACACTTCTTTGAAGTACATCCTTTTATATGTACCACTGCCTTTGAGCCTCAGCATTATTATCATTCCTTTTGCCATTTGATCAATAGCGCCTTCTACCTAAGCACAGACCTCCCCTTTTGCTTTTCAGACACCACCTCCTGTACCGTCCTCCTCAACTTCCACTTTCCCCTGACTTTACAACTGCTTAAAAACTGTTAAATTTCAAAATATTTCCATTGCTGACAAAAGAAAAAGTCTTTGCCCTGAAACATTGGGTAGAATCTTCTTCATAGAATAGAATAGAATCCCTACAGTGTGGGAACAGGTCCTTCGGCCCAACAAGTCCACACCAACCATAGGAGCATCCCGCCCTGACCCATCCCCCTATAACCCACCTAATCTACACCTCCCTGAATACCATGGGAAATTTAGCATGGCCAATCCACCTAGCCTGCACATCTTTGGACTGTGGGAAGAAACCGGAGCACCCAGAGGAAACCCACACAGACACGGGGAGAATGTGCAAACTCCACACAGACAGTTGCCCAAGGCTGGGCTCGAGCCCGGGTCCCTGGTGCTGTGAGGCAGCAGTGCTAACCACTGAGCCACCGTGCCGCCCGTTTCTGGACATCTCGTTCACTAACTCAAAGTTGCCGAGACCCGCAAGCTGACTGATCAGAAGGACTCCTGTACCTTCTCCCAGTCAGGCAGTTTAGGGGCTAATGATGGGCCTTTCTCTGAAATCAACTCCTAGTGAGATGGGGTTTCAGCCAGTGAGAGCTGCTAACCCATCAGAAGCTGGCAGCTCTCGCCCATGACAGCGCCAGAAGGACAATAGTGAACACAAGGCTGAATGAAAGCATTTTGTGGATGTGTTCTGGGGTCACTGGGGTGTTAGCGGGTGGGGGTGGGGGTGTGGTCTGAGTTAGATCGGATGCAAGGTGGTGTTGGCTGTCGGCATGCACTCCTAAACTCTGTGTCCAATCCATCAATTGGGCACAAGTAAGTTCTGAAATGCTGCCACCCTGCCTAATAAATTTGCCTTTATACTTCCAGGCCCACCACCTCTGACTGGAAAATACAGCCCATTAACTCTTTCTCTCCCCAGAGGTGGTGGCAGAGTCGCTGAGCTTGTCTAGGACTTACTGGCTTTATTTTAGGGCATGGATGATTAACGAGAGGAGGTTCAAGTAATCTCAACAGCATGTGGACAATGTGAGAAGTCACACAACGCCAGGTTATGGTCCAACAGGTGTGTTTAAAATCACAAGCTTTCAGAGTGAAGTGATGTCACCTGACAAAGGAGCAGCACTACGAAAGCTTGTGATTTCAAATAATCCTGACTTCTGACTTTGTCCACTCCCGTCCAACACCGGCACCTCCACATCATGGCTACAGCATGTGAAGTAAGGATATAAAGCCAGCCTGTTTGAATTGTGTGATATCTTTAGATTGTGCATACCACACAATGCAAAGGAGGCCGCACTATTTTAAATGTAAATCAGTTTAATTGCTATGACTTTATTGTCTAAGGATTTAATTTAGAATGGCCGAGACAGTTAAACTAGTTCACGGCATAAAGATTTATCACAAAGACTGCAGTCAGCTGACTCAGTACCCATTGAAAATAAGATTTCTAGCTGCAGAGTTTTCAGACATTTAATTGCAAGGCACGAACGTAGTATTTATAATTTATGCTTTTACTTTATTAGTTGAGGAACATTGGAGCAGTAGTTCATTCAGCATCCAGAACTTGTTCCACCATTTAGTTAGTTCACTGATGATCTGTGTCTTAACTCCCTTCTACCATCCCTCCCCCCTTGAGTTTCTAACTCTTAATGCATTTGTCTAGCAAAAATCTGACCATTGCAATTTTAAAATTTTCTGTTCACCCACCCAAGCTCAATTGTCTTTTGTAGAAGGATGTTCCAAATTTCCACTGCTGTTTATGTAAAGGAGTGCATCATGAAAGCCCTAGCTATCTTTTAAGATATGTCTCAAAAGCCTGTGTATCTGAATTAGTGGCATATTGGTAATATGGCTGCACTATTCTGCTGGAGGCCTAATTTTGTCAGAACGTGGATTCAAATCCCACCACAGCAGCAGGTGGAATTTAATTTCAATTAATAAACCTGGAATTGAAAGCTAGTCTCAATCACGTTGACCATGAAACCTTTGCTGATTTTTGAACAACCTATCCTCCAAGGAAGGAAATCTGTCATTCTTATCCAGTCACGCCTTCAAGTGAGTCCGGATCCATAGACACGTGGTTGACTCTGAACTGCCCTCTGAAGTGGCCCTAGCAAGCAAATCAGCGCAACTAAGGACTATTAGGAAACTGCAACAAATCCTGCCCTTGCCAGCATTACGTAAAAGCACAGAGAATAAAAATGACAATACTTTAAGATAATGCTTGTTAAGCCTCATGGTCTGAAGCATTTGCAGCCTTGCAGTTGGCTTCAGCTTCAATCCAACTCTATTTGCATAAGAAGAGGGAAAGATCAATGGTGACTCTTCTTGATAAATATTGGGGGTGGAGGGGGGTGTGATGTTGGGAGCACGTTGCTGAATGAGAACTGGGTTGGAGTTGGTTATGACATTCTCCATGGTGGATTACTCTGCTAGCAATTGCAGTGCGGACTTGTATACAATTAATATTCGAAACAAAAGCAGAAATTGCTAGAAAAGCTCAGGAGGTCTGGCAGCATCTGTGAAGAGAAATCAGAGTTAACATTTTGGGTCCGGTGACCCTTCCTCAGTTCACTCTGATTTCTCCTCACAGGTGCTGCCAGACCTGCTGAGCTTTTCCAAAAATTTCTGTTTTATTTCTGATTTACAGCATCCACGGTTCTTTCGGTTTTTATACAATTAATGCGTTGTGTTTCAGTATACCAATGGGACCACGCAACTCGAGAGAGTGCAGAAGAGGATTGCATAAAATAAAATAATGCAGAAATAATGTTTCTTGCTATGATTGTAACAGGAAAGTAATGTGTTTGAGTTTTATTCATGAAATGTTTTGTATTAACTAATCAATGCCGAAGCATCAACCTTTAAGAATTTTTCATTTTTCAACGTACAGACTTCATTATTCTCCCTATGGAGCATATGCCCAGAGCAAGCTTGCCCTTGTCCTCTTCTCATATGAACTGCAGCAGCGCTTGACAGCTGAGGGGAGCTACGTGACGTCAAATGTAGTGGACCCAGGAGTTGTCAACACTGATCTCTACAAGCACACCAGCTGGCTCTTCAAACTGTGCAAGTCGTTAACGTCCTGGCTGTTCTTCAAGGTATCGAATGTTTTCATTAAAAATTATCCTTTAGGAATTCAGTTCTCAGTCACTTTTTACGACAAGCCAGTCCAAATGGGCAATCCATGCAGGCTATGTTGCTGTTGATGGGGAAGGTTCAACGACCAGGAGACAGGTCAAAAATGAAACTGTTTGAAATAAATAGAAAAACCAGGCAGAATATTTTCATCCTACAGCTAATGGATGTCATAGAGAGTTACCTGGGAATACTACTGCGATTGACCGTATAAAATCACATTCAGGTGTGCTTTCAGAGAGGACTGAAATTGTAGGGGTGAGAAAGTAGGGTGAGATGAAAGCATGCTCTTACTTAGAGTCACAGAGATGTACAGCACGAAAACAGACCCTTCGGTCCAACTCCTCAATGCCGACCAGATATCCGAATGATTTGGATTAATCCAGGCTCATTTGCCAGCATTTGGCCCATATCTCTCTAAACCCTTCCTCTTCATGTAACCATCCAGATGCCTCTTAAATGTTGTAATTGTACTCGTCTCTATCACTTCCTCTGGCAGCTCATTCCATACACGCACCACCCTCTGTGTATAAAGGTTGCCCCTCAGGTCACTTTTAAATCTTTACCCTCTCACCTTAAACCTATGCCCTCTAGTTTTGGACTCCCCTACCCTGGGGATAAGACTATTCACCCTGTCCATGCCCCTCATGATTTTATAAGCTTCTAAGGCCACCCCTCAGCCTCCGACACTCCAGGGAAAATAGCCCCAGCCTATTAAGCCTCTCCTTATCTCTCAAACCCTCCAACCCTGGCAACATCCTTGTAAATCTTTACTGAACCCTTTCAAGTTTCACAACATCCTTCCCATAGCAGGGAGACCAGAATTGAATGCAGTATTCCAAAAGTGGCCAAACAATGTCCTGTCCAGCTGCAACATGATGTCCCAACTCCTATGCTCAATATGCTGACCAATAAAGAAAAGTGTACCAAACACTTTCTTCATTAGCCAGTCCACCTGTGAATCCACTTTAACTTAAATGTTGTGATTGTACCAGCCTCCACCACTTCCTTTGGCCGCTCATTCAATACATGTACCACCCTCTGCGTGAAAAAGTTGCCCCTTAGGTCTCTTTTAAATCTTTCCCCTCTCACCTTAAATCTATGCCCTCTAGTTTTGGACTCCTCTACCCTGGGAAAAAGACCTAGACTATTCACCCTATCCATGCCCCTCATGATCTGATTAACCTCTACAAGGTCACCCCTCAGCCTCTGACGGTCCAGGGAAAAAACCCCAGCCTGTTCAGCCTCTCCCTATAGTTCAAACCCTCCAATGCTGGCAACACTCTTGTAAATCTTTTCTGAATCCTTTCAAGTTTCACAACATCTTTCCTTTAGCAGGGAGACCAGAATTGAACACAGTATTGCAAAAGTGGCCTAACCAATGTCCCGTACAGCCACAACATGACGTCCCAACTCTTATACTCGACGCATTGACCAATGAAGGCAAGCATGCCAAATGCCTCTTCACCACTCTGTCTACGTACAACTCCACTTTCAGGGAAATATGCACCCCTAGGAGTCTGTGTTCGACACTACTCTCAAAACCCTACCATTAACTGTATAAGTCTTGTCCTGGTTTGTCTTACCAAAATGCAACACCCCACATTTATCTAAATTAAACTCCATTTGCCATACCATTGGCCCATTTCATCAAGGTCCCGTTGTACGCTTAAATAACCTTCTTTCCTGTCCACTGCACTTCTAATTTTGGTGTCATCTACTAACCATACCTCTTATGTTCACATCCAAATCATTAATATAAATGACAAAAAACAGTGGACCCAGCACCAATCCTTGTGGCACACCGCTGGTTACAGGCCTCCAGTCTGAAAGGTAACCTTCTATCACCACCCTCTCTCTTCTACCTTCGAGCCAGTTCTGTATCCAAATGGCTAATTCTCCCTGTATTCTGTGTGATCTAACCTTGCTAGACAGTCTACCATGAGGAACCTTGTTGAACACCTTACTGAAGTCCATATGGATCATGTCCACCACTCTGCCTTCATCAATCCTCTTTGTTGCTTCTTAACTAATCAAGTTACTGAGATACGATTTCCCATGCACAAAGCCATGTTGACTGCCTCTAATCATTCCTTGCCTTTCCAAATACAAGTAAATCTTGTCTCTAAGGATCCCCTCCAACAACTTTCCCGCCGCTGATGTCAGGCTCACCGGTCTATAGTTCCCTGACTTTTCCTCACTACCTTTCTTATATAGTGGCACCACGTTAGCCAAACTCCAGTCTTGCGGCACCTCACCTGTGGCTATCGATGATACAAATATCTCAGCGACGGGCCCAGCAAACACTTCCCTCGCTTCCCATAGGATTCTAGCATACACCTGATCAGGTTCTGGAGATTTATCCACCTTTATGCATTTTAAGATGTGCAGTACCTCCTCATCTGCAATGTGGACATCTTGCAAGATGTTGCTATTTGTTTCCCCAAGTTCACTGTCTTCCATATCCTGCTCCAAAGTAAGCACTTCTGATTCCATTTTCGTGCGTGAGAAGGATGCTTGAGGGAGGAATTGAAGCACTTTCCATTGCAAGGTGGCAGCAGGCACTCTCAGATCAGTGATATAATTAAATGAAGAAAGTCTCTCTATGCTGCCCTGTAGAAAGCATCAGGAGTCCTCAATGTTACCATTGAGCCATCAACAGGTGTTTAATAACCAGAATGGAGAAATCATACCCATCAAGAAAGCACACACTTTTCTCTAGAAAAAGAGAATACCTGATAGACGTCATTAAGATTTGGAAAGAATTTGATTGGTAGGAAAGACAAGAAATTTCTATTTGTACAGGGGACTAGACCATGCATTGTAAATGTTAGATAGTTACTAATCAATTCAATAGGGAATTCAGGAGAAATTTCTTTACAATGACAAGTCATTAGGATGTGGAGTTCACTACCAAAAGGAATAACTTACATGACTCGCATGGATGCTTTCAAGATGACAGTAGATAAAGACTTAATGGAGAAAGTTCAGAAATATTCTGTTGACAAGTTGAGGTGTGTGAGTTTGGAGGAGGAGGCTTGAGTGTAGTATAAACACTATCATGGACGTGTTGAGTCAAATGGGCTGTTTCTTTGCTGTGACATTCTACATAAATTCCTTCCTCTAGTTTGAAATTGCACCTCCAGGTTACGGGATTTGTGATTATGTCAAAAAACGTATTAATCATTCACATTTTTATAGATATGTCATCCTAAGCAAGAATTAAACACTGCAGAAAGACAATCCCTATTAAAATCACACATATCAAGGACAAGCAGTGGCAAAATAGGTTAATACTAGTTAAGTTTTAATTAGAATCCATGTCTTACATCAACCTTTAGGGAAATGGTCCCAGCAGACCGCCCTGATGGTGAAATTCTGGGATTACAGTGGTTGATGAAGACGTCTCACCACTTCCTTCTAAAGGACATTGAGCATGCACAATAATTTTTTTAAATTATTAGATTTGTAAAACCTGGCCTTCTTAATACAATCCTGGGACTTTGGAGATGAAAAATCTGTCCACTTTCAGCCCAGATGCTTTTGCCATTGTCTATGACTACGAACACTTTGCATCTTCTTCCAATTAAAACAACCTGTTTGCCACCACCGCTTGTCTTTAAGAACAGCACCATCTAAGTTTACTTAGATGGATTGCATGACCCTGTTCATTCCTCTATTTTACCCTAAACTGAAAACAGTGCCTAAACATCAGAATGTAATAAAAGCTTGCAATTGTAATGATTGCAATGTCCACAAAAGTCTTGTTTATTCCTTCCTTGCATTGATGGTAAAGTTTCACATTCACTGGGCAGTTAAATATCACTCTGCAGGTTAATGCAAAAGGCACCAAAGAGTTAGATTATCATATTGTTGTGATCATTTGAAGCAGACAGTATTAATTAGCTGTGTTTAAATTCCAGCTTCTCCTATGATGTGACCTTTTATCTCTTAATGTGTGCCACATTTCCTATTCATTATTGTCAGCAATAAAAAAAATGACAGATCTGTCACTTATCGCTTACACAATAAGGAGAATTCAAAGAGCTTTGTCAATTGCGAAGAGCAATACGGTTGAACGAATGACAGATTCTGAGATCATGTCCTGAATTCTAAGTGATGGATGTCCTTCAGGATCTTTTTCAATGTTGTTGCTACCAGTTCTGGTCCCCTGAATTGTAACCATTATATGACAGCTTGGAGCTTCTGTTCAACTAAGGGCATCAGTAACCCACCCTGAAGCAATACAACCCATGCAGAACACATGGTTAGCCTTTTTCATACTGATATTTTTCCTTCCTTTCCTGAAGGCAGTAATTTTCGCTGGGATCTGACTGCTGCTGTGCTGTTTCTCCTCTGGCATCTTGTCCATTTGAACAATCTTTACATACCAGCCTCAGCATGCTATGTGGCAGCTGTGGTTCAGTAGCTGGCATTCTTTCCTGAGTCATATTGGATCTGTCAATGCATAATTCAAACGGCTGACACTCAAAGGTGGTATTAAGTGAGTGCTGCATGCTCTGAGATACGGTACTTCAAATTAAGTTGCTGCCTCTTCTGTTCTCTCAAGGGCAAAATATACCATGACGTTATTTCAAAGAGGAACAGGAGACTCACTTATAGTGCTCTGGCCAATGCTTATCCCTCAATCAGCATTGTGTAAGCAGATTATTTGGTCATTATCAAACTGCGGCTTGCTATGAGCAGGTTTGCGACCATTTTTCTTACATTACAACAGTTACTCGACTTTGAAAGCACTACTGGATTGTAAAGTTCCTTGGGATACCTTGTAATTGTAACAGGTGCTATATTGTAAGCAATCTCCTCCTTTACCCATTGCCTCTATTTACATAACAAATAACTGAGGCAAACAAACCAGAAGTAAGTGTTCTGGAACATGCTCAGTCTGTAATGTGGACTTCAGTGATCCCACTAACATTTAGGGATTGGCATGAAGTTTCTT